GTGAACGCAGGAACTACACATCAAAACTTGCTTCTTCCCTAAAAAATGTTTTTCTTTTCGAATTTTCTCTCATGAGAAGTCCATGGTCGCAGTTTCCAAAATGGGTCCTTTTTTGTCATCGTAGTCTCTACGTAAATTCTGTCAAATAGTTAGTAGACAATGTTAGATTGATCTGGAAGTCAACGAAACTTTCTTATCAAGTAACTTTCATCCCAGACCAATCTGCTCATCAGATTCTTTCGTGTGTGAACAAAATGTTATTGAATCTGGAGAAAATATAGATGCTTAGAAGCTAGAGCTTTATCGGAAAAAGCGATAAATGGTCAAATCACGACACATAGTATCACATTCATCAGGACTTGCTTTTATGAGATTCATGGAAAAAGTGCGCATTTCATGCTAAACATTGCTAACTATTTTGCAACAAAACATCTAGCGATAGAACTAAACCTAAAACGCACACTTTTAAGTGGTCAAAAAACCATTAAACAACTTATGTCTCATCAGCACCTATTTTGCTAAGGACAAAACACCAAACACGTATTGAAGTTCTAAATGGTCAAAAATGTCATTATGCAATTAAAATTTCATCAAGAAAAATGTTCTCGATTTCTAGCCGCAGCAACCCTGCACCCTAGGATCTTTTCCGGATCGCTTTGTGATCTGCATCTTCACAAACTCTTCGGAGCTACATGGGTGAATAGCAGTGGTATCTAAATCTCATATTTACATAAAAGGTCAAACAGTACAATCTAAATGAGCTTACCAATCAACTGATCAAAAGTTATTCCAGCTTTTACAGCAATGGCGTAGCCTTGAATAATCTCTGCTGCATTGGGGCCAACAATGTGCATGCCGAGCACGGTTCTTGGTTCTTCTCTCAAGCACACTACCTGAAAAAGAAGCTCAATACAACACGCAATGCAACTTAGAATATGATAGCAAATTAGGTGCATGCTGTTCTCTTGCGGTGTTGACAACACCTGCGCGTGAGCAAGTGGCATAGCGCGATAAGAAAAAATGTGCGCTCAGGGAGCATTTTATACCCTTTGATTCAATGGAATAGGCCGCTGGAAGGGTGACCGCTCGCACGCGCCGCATTTGCGTCTCGCCGGCGTGCACGCTATCTGATCAACCTCTAGCCTTAACTAGGTCGGGAAATCCCGCCTCCCAGCCGCCTATCTGGTTGAATCAAAG